GGAGGTGATGCCAGAAACGCGGCGGCCGAGGCTAGAAGACGCATGCAGAATTAGACGGTTGAGGTATTTCCAGAATGTGGTGTTATACGCGCCGGTATCGCGACGCCTGCTGATGGATGCAGTTGGGCTTATCAAGTCACTGCTGACGACCCTGCAGACAGGCTTTGCATGGCTTGGCGAGACGTCGGGAACATTTATTACTTACCAAGCAGCGGTGGACTCAGAGTTTGGGCGAGACATGTTCGGGCATATCACAGGCGCCATGACAACCTTTGCTTGCGCAATGTGCTGGCAGCGCCAGCGTACATGGTGGATAGATCTGCGTCATCACAAAGAGTGGGAGGCTCACATGAGGGACCTCGCACCACCGCAACCTCCAGCACCAGACCCCGACTGGCAGTTTGCACGCTGCGGATGGGGATCCACGTTCACGACGACGAAGGCATGGCGACATCCTCCGACCAGGAAACAAGCAGATGTCCTGCACGGAGGCGGAAAGATGCGCTGCGACGCGATACTGCCGGGCATGTGACACATATTCCCATGCACGAGAGAGGCTTCCATATAATTTCAAATAGTGACAGACGGTATGCTTAGATAAGCTGTGAGAGAGGTGGCAACCACTGGATGACGGAGCGATTGCGGAACTGACGGCAAAGGATGCAGAGGAGTCAGAAAAGTTACGCGCGCAAGGTTACAATGAGGCCCAAGCATTACGACCGCGTGCCCGAGGCGAAGATTACAATCAAGGTTAACACGGAAAAATACTTGGTTTGGCGATTCCCACGATGATGGGTGCGCGCCCAGAACCACCGACACAACAGATTTTCGAAAGGCCATATTTTGAATCACCAAGATGGAGAACGCTGTTGATATTACGTGCTTCGGAGCTGGAATCTGTATCTGGGAACATAGCGAACTTCGTCCAAAAGATGCTGGCAAATATTGGCCAAGTGGTGGAAGTGCCCAAATATCCGAGAGAAGACATTGGATGATGTAGCCCTCCATGGCACACGATCGGACCAGTTGTCTCGCATTCAGACTGGAGAGATTTGTTGAATATATACATTGGTACGAATCCCGGCACATGGATCCCGGCATGGACAAGCAAGAAGCGACGAGGCAGACAGAAGTGGGAACGAAGCCAGAACGGCGAGGCATCCGCACATAAACAATATGAGGGCAGCAGATACAGACGAACGAGTTTAGCTGTGGCATTTGGCGCGGTGGAAATTCCAATCCGAGTCAGTCACCATGCGTCAGTATGGGACCTGATACCACCCGAGCTCCAAGTCAGCCATGTGGACATCCTCGACCACGTGTGGTCCATCCGAATGCCGCCTCACACGGGAAGCGCGCTACTGCTAGCCACTGACATTGACGGCGCGGGCGACGTGGACGGCGTGCGTGGGGAGCCAATGCCTGATGTGGTGAGCCACCCTGGGGCCTCAGTCGCGGGCGCGTGCGCGGCTGGCGGCTCCGAAGGAGGACCGCCTGACTAACTAATAAAGTTGGGGGGGAGGGTTGGAAGGTTTCTCCGAAGGGTTTAGGCGACCCGTCCTCCTCCTCCTCCTCTTCCTCCTCCTCCTCCTCCTCCTCCTCCTCCTCCTCCTCCTCCTCCTCCTCCTCCTCCTCCTCCTCCTCCTCCTCCCGCCTGCCCCTGCTGTTTGTAGTATTTTCAGCTCTCAGCATCAGTTGTCTGAGTCAGGTCTTAGTTGTAATCGTTGTAAGGGGTCGACCTCTCAGGCCCAGAAGAAGGCCTGGCTGGACTCTCCGTGTTTTCCCCTTTCCACGGGCGATGGTGTAGTGTGGGAACCCCCTCCAGGGCTGCGGGTGCACGTAGGGGGGGGATATGCACATCCGTCTCACCATCTTAAATATCATGCTGGACTGGGGGTATGGTTTTGTACTACTTGTGGAAGCTTTGCCGCTGAACAGCTGGCTAAGTTGTCCAAGGAGTGTGAACCTAAGCGTAGTCGGCAAGACTACCTTAATCGAATTCAACAGGGTTTATGGCCCAAACAATATAGCAAAGCTGAGCGAGCCAAGCGGGCCGCTGCGGGTAAACCCGTTTAAGTTTGCTGTTTGGGCCCTCATTAGTAACCGACATGGTCGCAATATCCGTAACTCCGTAACTCCTCCTCCTCCTCCTCTTTTTCTGCTCCCTCCTCCTCCTCCTTCTCCTCCTCCTCCTCTTCCTCCTCCTCCTCCTCCTCCTCCTCCTCCTCCTCCATCTCCTCATCCCCCCCCCTCCTCCACCTCCTCTTTCTTCTCCTCCACCTCGGGTCGCCTACGGCCTCTCCGGAAACCGTGCAGGATGATCAACGGGAGGGCAGCGGCGTCAGGACCACGAGGGGGGGGGGCCACAGGTGGCGCAAGTGGCTTGGCAGAGACGCGACGACGGTCAGCGCGACCTTGTGCACCCCCCGAGACTAGTTGTAAGTCGGGCCTGTCCCTCTACAGGAGGAATGTTCAAAATAGTCGAACATAGTCCAGGGACGTTTTGTTTTAGTATGTGTGAGCATTGCTTGACCATGTTTTGGATATGTTTCATTTTTCTGCCAAGATCCGCCTGTAAGGGGACATTCCCGACCGAAGACTAGCTAGCAGAGGGGTCTCCCGAGGTGGCGAAAGTGCTGGTAGGCGCCACCCTCGCGGGGACCCCACAAGCACGAAGAAGTTCAGCGTAGCTCGACCAGGCACTCTGGGTGTATCCCGTTCGGCGTGAGGGTAAATCAGGGAGTGAGTAAGTAAGTAAGTAAGTAGGTAAGTAAGGATCAGGAGGAGGAGGAGGAGGAGGAGGAGGAGGAGGAGGAGCAGGGTGTGCATCTTGGAAGCCTCTGGGGGCAGTCTTGGGGCCTTATGGGAGCTTCCTGGGAGATTATTGGAGGCATCTTCGGGGCCTCCTTGCGACTCTTGGGGGCCTTCGGGGTTTTCAGGGGCCTCCTTGCCCGCCTTAGGGCGTCCCTGGCCCGTCTGACGCCTTCGAAATCCGTCTTGGGGGCTCTGGACCGACTTGGGGCCCTCTTGGGGAGCTCCAGTGCCATCTTGGAGGCCATCATGGGCGGTTTGGAGGCTTCTTGGGCCGTCTTGGGACCCTCTTGGGGCCGTCTTTGGGGCCTTGTTGGCGATTCTGGGGCCATCTTGGAGGCCTACTGGGCGATCTTGGGGCGATCTTTGAGGCTCTTGGGCCGTTTCGGGCCGTCGGAAGGTCGGAAAGAAACAAATTGTTTAATCCTTCAAAAACTTTCGGGAATCAATGATTTGGACCTATTCGGGCATTCTTGGTTCTTGGGGGCCTCTTGGGCCGTTTTGGAGGCCTCTTGGGGGTCTTGCGAACCTTCGGGCCGTCGTAGGCCATCTTGAGGCCATCTTGGGCCGTGTAAGATGCATATTGGGGCTATGTCAGGGTCTCTTGGGGCCAGCTTGGCCGTCTTGGAAGCATCTTGGAGGTCATCTTGAGACATCTTGGCCGTTGGAGAGGCCATCTTGAGCCGTCTTGGAGATTATTTTGTGGACGTTGAGGTTGCTTGCGGTCCTTTCTGGGTGACCGGCGCGATGGGCCGAAGCCCCACGGGGAGCTCCTTGGGAAAAAGAGCCCAGACCAAGCCGTATAGGATTTAACACGCCAGGCACCCCTGTGACAAATCAACAGGGGGCGGCGGATCCACTGGCCTCCGGCCCATCCCGCCACCGCGCCAGTGTTGCTCGGCATGGGTACGGAAAGAAGGGGTACAATGCCCAACAGCAGTTCCTGCTCATTTTGAACAGGACTCGCTGTCCGCGCCGCCGCGGCCTGTGTCCATTTGAGACAGGAGGCCGCCTGCCCAACAGCGGCCGCTGTTGGCTTGGGACAAAATTTGTTGTTGGGCATTGTACCCATTTTTCCCGTACCTATTTCGGGCGTCCAAATCAGAGGCTTTTCGGGGCCCTCCCGGCCCCTGTCGGGGCGCTCGTGGCCCTGGAAAGTCGTGCGGGAGGCGCCGGGGAGCCGCGGGAGGCACGCCGAGGCCGCTTGAAAAGCGGAGCAGCTTGGGATCCGAGCCCCACGGTATGCAATCGAGAGGACGGAGGACTACAGCCAAGACGCTGAAATAAGTAACAGTTTGGATTCGGAAGGGGCTCTTTGCGTACTTCCGCGAGCCGCAGAGGGGCTTCGTTCCTTATTTAGCGTTCCTTATTTCAGCAGCCCGACTGAAGGGTTGGGGCCGACGATCAAGGGAGAGGAAGCATGTTGCCAAATAATTCCCAGATGCCTAATTCTATGTGTATATATATATATATATATATATATATATATATATATTACGGTCAAAAAGAAAAACAACTAACGTCTTAACCATGTAAAAGCATGCTTTGAGCATGGTTTGAACATCTTTTATACATGCTAAGCACATTGTTAGTTCAATGATCGGATTGTTAGGGTGTCCAGTGTCATGGCATCCACAATACAGGGGACCCTTGGGCACTCTTTCTCGTGCCTCGCGGCACGGCGGCGGCTAAGAACTCTGGTGGCACGTTTCTTGTGGTCCCTGGGCTTCCGAAGGTATCCCAGGCCTTCTGTGGGTCCCTGGGGCCATCGGGGACGAGAGAGAGATAGAGAGAGAGAGAGAAAGAGAGAATATCCGTGGGGTACCTGCTGGGAGGCCGGTTTCTTTTCTGACATGTGTACTTCGGCGGCGAGCCCGGGGGGAAGTGAGAAGGGGCGGGCCTTCCAGAAGGCTCGAAAGTCCCTTGGCCTTGCCAGAAGTTGTCCAAGATTTCCCCCGAAGACGCAGAAAACTGTTCAGAAGGCGCGAGAGCTTCTGAGAAGTCCCGCCGCCTTCTGAGAAGGCCGTCTTCTTCTAATTTCCCGCCCCTCGCTCGCCGTCGAGTACTGTCCACGTGTGGTGAGGGGGGGCGGCGTCTCCATGAAAGGTTCAAGAAGCTTTTGCCGGGCAGCTGACAGGCATCCTGAGACGCCCCGGTGTGCCGAAGGGGCGGTGGCGGACTCCGACGAGCAGTACCTCTCTGAGCAGCACCATTGCAACGAGCTCCACAGTAAGCACGACGCACGCGACCTCTACAACCTCTATCTCTACCGCAACCTCGAGTACCAGCGTGTCCGCCCTTGCGAGCAGTACCACAGACAACGCCACCGTCAGCGCAGAAGGACCACTGACGGCAATGACGCCGCTCACGTCCACCAACATGTTCGCCTCCACGTACGGGAGCACGCAAATTTTGACGGAAGCGTTCACGTCCACCTCTGCGCTCACGGCGGCGACGACAAACGCTCATGTATCGACATCTACATCTACTTCCATGCCAGTGACAGCCATAATGACGTCCATGATGCTGACAACGAAGACGCCCACAGTCATGGCAAGCACATCCACGGCCGCGGCACCGACAGCGTCTACGTCCACCACCACGACGAGGACCACGTCCAGCGCAGACTTCGGCGACGCGGTGGCCCAGCTGGGCTCGGAGAGTGGCCCGCAGGTCGCCTCCATCGTCGTGGCCGGCGTCGTCATAGGCGCCCTGCTGGGCGCCGTCGGCTCCTACCGCGCGATCCGCATGCGCGCTCGCGCGAAGCGGGCCGTGGACCCGGGCCTGGACCCCGAGCCAGGCTCGGGGGCGGCAAAGCGGGGGGGGATGACCAGGGGGGGGGATCTCCTGGCGGGGGCCACGATGTTTCCCCAGATCTCATGGCGCCTCTTCTGATGTCATTGCGTCCGTGGCCCCGCCGCTGGGCCGCGCACGTGCCGCCAGTCATGACTTGCACCCCCCCTTCTTGGACCCCCCCCTCTTTCGGGAGGGAAAGAAACACACAGACACAACGAATCGTCGATTCCCCAGAAAATATAGGAAAATATGGGAAGTGGGGGGGAAGACAAAAACCCCGAAAATATGGGGCATCTTTTTATTTGTGCGTATTGATTTGTGTGTGTTGTGGGCCCCTTCACTCTTGGACACCCCCCTCTTGGCCGCTCCCGACAGGTCTTTTTAAGGGCGTCTGCCCGGGGCAGTTCGAGCGGCGGCCCGGGCTGGGAGGCCCGAGGCCTCACGAGAGGCCGCCGTGCACGGCCAGGCCGGAGGGCGCGACGCCCGGCGGGCGCGAGGCGAGGAGGCCTCCCGAGAGGCCCGCGGGCATCGGCGCGGGGCTGGCCTCGCTGAGCGCCTTCGCATCTCAGATGTCTGGGATGTCTGCCATGTCCAATCCGCTCTTCATGGACTCGGTGACGTCGGGCGACTTTACTTCGCACTGACGTCACGCGCGTTGGGTCACTGGCACTCGAGGTGGAATCACAAAACACCCGGAACTCATGTTGCCATACCTCCATGCAGTGTGCCATGTGTTTCACCAGTCTTGCCTGTGTAGTTTCGGCGTTCACGGTTTCTTCTTTCCTAGCCGAGACTTGTTGCGATTGAAGAATTGCGTCGCACCGTGAGTCAGACTCATTCTCACCCAGACTCGCTCATGTGCATACCCCAGGTTCACTCAGGCTCTGACTCACTCACGCACTCTCGCTCTTATTCATCGCGTTCGTACTCTCACCCATTTATACTCGGACTCACTCACGCTCAGGCTCCCAGACACATTCATATTCAAAGCTACGCGGACCCATTTTACTGGTATTCAGCCGTTCATTATCATCGCGATGTAACAGGCATCGCACGCGCACGTCCAAGGGAGTGCCGACCAAGGGTGTTTCACGGGTGGCACTTTTCATGCAGCAAGCCATTTTTGGGTGTAGACTTTTTCCCCTACCATCCTGAGGTGTTGGGTCCTCGTTTTGAAGAGACAGTCCCCGCGTCCCCCTCCTCTCCTCTCTTTCCCTCCTCCCCATCCTCCCCATCCTCCCGTCACTCCCCTCACTTTGACACGCTCTTCACACGTTTCGTGGCCCCACAGGGAGTTCCACTGAAGAGCCAAGTGGCATGGTTCGCATGCCGCTACCCCCCCCCCCCAGTTTGGCACATTCGCATGCCTCACCCTGTCCAATTTGGCACACCACTTACACGCTGGGACGACCCATAGGGAGTTCCACCGAAGGCCCCAGTGGCATGGTTCGCATGCCGCCCCCCTTCCATCTTGGCACACCCCTCACGCGTTTCGTGGCCCCATGGAGGCTCCACCGACGGCCCCAGTGGCATGGTTCGCATGCCCTCCTCCCCCTCCAGCTTGGCACACCCATCACACGCTTCGTGGACCCATGGGGAGCTCCACCGAAGGCTCCAGTGGTATGGTTCGCATGCCGCCCCCCCTTCCATTTTGGCACACCACTCACACGTTTTGTGGCCTCACAGGGAGCTTCACCGAAGGCTTCAATGGCATGGTTCGCATGCCGCCCACCGTCCAATTTGGCACGCCCCTCACACGTTGGGTGGCCCCATAGGGAGCTCCACCGAAGGCCCCAGTGGCATGGTTCGCATGTCGCGCCCCCTCCAGTTTGGCGCACCCGTCACACGCTTCGTGGCCCCATGGGGAGCTACACCGAAGGCCCCAGTGGCATGGTTCTCATTCCGCCCCCCCTCCACTTGGACACACCCCTCACATGTTGCGTGGCCCCATAGGGAGCTCCACCGCAGGCCGCAGTGGCATGGTTCGCATGCCGCCCTCCCTCTATTTCAGCACACCCCTCACACCTTCCGTGGCCCCACGAGGAGCTCACCTCACACCTTTCGTTGCCCCAAGGGGAGCTCTACGGAGGACCCCAGTGGCATGGTTCGCATGCCACCCCCCCCTGCTCTTTGGCACACCCCTCGCACGCTTCGTGGCCCCATAGGGAGCTCCACCGAAGGCCCCAGACGCATGGTTCGCATGCCGGCCCCCGTTCAATTTGGCACGCCCCTCACTCGTTTCGCGTTCCCATAGGGGGTCCCACGGAAGGCCCCACGTTACGACGAGTCCCTTTACTAGTATCCTTGCGGTTTCTACTACGACTAATACGACCGCTACTACTCTACTACTACTACCACTACTACTACTACTACTACTACTACTACTACTACTACTACTACTACTACTACTACTACTACTACTACTACTACTACTACTACTACTACTGCTAATACGACGACGACGACGGCGACGACTATTACAACCACACTACTACTACTACTACTACTACTACTACTACTACTACTACTACTACTACTACTACTACTACTACTACTACTACTACTACTACTACTACTACTACTACTACTACTACTACTACTACTACTACTACTACCTACTACTACTACTACTACTACTACTACTACTACTACTACTACTACTACTACTACTACTACTACGACTACTACTACTACTACTACTACTACTACGGCTACTACTACTACTACTACTACTACTACTACTACTACTACTACTACTGCTACTGCTGCTACTACTACTATTATACTACTACTACTACTACTACTACTACTACTACGACTACTACTACTACTACTACTACTACTACTACTACTACTACTACTACTACTACGACTACCGCTACTACTACGACTACGACCACTACTACCACTACTGCCACTACTACTACTACTACTACTACTACTACTACTACGACTACTACTACTACTACTACTGCTACTATTACTTTTACTACGATTGCTACTACTACTACTACTACTACTACTACTACTACCACTACTACTACGACGACTACTACTACTACTACTACTACTACGACTACTACTTCTACTACTACTACTACTACTACTACTACTACTACTACTACTACTACTAGTACTACTACGACGACGACGACTACTACTACTACTACTACTACCACTACTACCACGACGACTATTACTACTACGGGTATTGCCACGGCTACTGTTCTACTACTACGACTACTACTACTACTACTACTACTACTACTACTGTTACGCTTGTTATTTTTACTATTACTGATATGTTTACTCCTACGACTACTACCACCACTACTACTACTACTACTACTACTACCACTACTACTACGACGACTACTACTACGACTACTACTACTACTACTACTACTACTACTACCACTACGACAATTACTAATACTACCACTACGACCGTCTCTCGTACGACTTCGACTCCGACCACTCTTACTACGCGTACTACTCTTACTACTACTACTATTACTACTACTACTACTACTACTACTACTACTACTACTACTACTACTACCACTACTACTACTATTACCACTACTACCACTACTACTACTACTACCAAGACTGCAATGGTTAATGTTGTTACGACTACTGCTACTACTACTGCCAGTACTACTCTTACGACGACGACGACTACTACTATTACTACTACTAGCACCACTACTTCTACTACTGCTACTCCCACTACTACTGGTACTACTATAACGACAACCACGACTACTGCGACTACTATTATTTCAACAACAGTAAACTACTACTACTACTACTACTACTACTACTACTGCTACTACCACTCGTACTATTGCCATGAGCACTACTACTATTACTTTGTTGCTACTTCAAGTATGATTCTTACGACTACTACGATTGCTACTGCCACGGCTAATACTACTATTACTACTACCACTACTACTACTACCACTACTACTACTACTACTACTACTACTACTACTACTACTACTTCTACTACTACTAGTAATACTACTGCTACTACTATCACGAATGCTAAGACAATGACTGCGGCTGCGACTACTACTGCTACTTCTACGACTACAATACCTGCTGCTGCTAGGGCGAGTACTACTGCTAATACTATTCCTACTACTATTATGCTTACTTGTACTAGTTTTACCATCACTACTAGTAGGACTACTCTGGTTAAGATTGCAAGATTGTTTAAACAAAACCCGGATACTACAGCTTCTCTAGCGGCGACTACTATCTCTTTGACGATTACTACTACGATGACTATTACTACCCTTACTGCTGCTACTACTACTTCTACTACTACTACTACCACTGCCATTACTAGGAGCACAACTGCAACCACCATTACTACTACGAC